ACACATATCATAGTCATAGATAAACAAATACACATATATAGATACACACCTCACAGGTACACTGAAACAGATGTACACAGATGCACATAGATATACACAAGCTAAAAACTGAAACATCGTGAAAATCCAATTTGTTTGTATGACTCATATTATTAGGCAACTTATGCATCAACTGTTTTTATGTCCTGTGCTTATGAGTGCACATCCAATTTTGAGCAGTAAATTCATAATCATCATACTTATATATATATATAACTACCTTAAAAAAAAGTTAATGTTTGTTGTACAAGTGCAAACTTGGTGGCGTAAAAAAAAAAAGCCTTTTCAGATGAACACTTAGAGATGATTTGGAACAGCGTGTCAAATTAAATTTGATGTTTCCAGACGGAACATATTTTAAACATACATAAAATATATCCTCTGTAATAGTATATGAAGTCCTCATTTTTAAATTGGTATTTCCTATTTTTTTATTGGTTTTTATTGGTACCGTTTAAGAAAGAAGTTTCATGGAGAGTTGTTATATATCTATATAATATGTAGTGTTTTCACTCTAAATGCTGTTCTCTCCTTTACCTTCACAAAATCAATCACGTGACACATCAGTTCAGCGACTGTCTCCCTCTGCTCCATTGGGAAGCGCCTGTTTATCGGCGAGTAGTAAATACAACATAAATTCAAATTGATATGATTTGTGTTCTGTAGACAGCCCATGTCACTGAACATGCAAGTCTTCTCCCTTATAATCGATGGTAGACATTCAAGTATATTATACACAAAAAAAAGATATTCAATAATTATCAAAATAAGTATAAATGTGGAAGAATACAATGAATATTATAGATACACGCCGCCGAGTTCGTAGTGCAAATCTAAATTTTAACGATGAATCAAGATACTATCCTTAAAAAATAAAAAAAACAGTAAAGGGGTCAAACTAGAACAGGCCAGCACATTGAAAGGGAGATAATTTTATAAAAGGACATCTTGTTTCTTATTTGTTCTACGGGACAGCAAATACCACAACACGACACCAAGCATCGATGCTGTGGCCACGATCATCACAGCAGCGATGATCTTCAGCGAATCCAGATACGATATCCCGTTTCCGCCATGGTAGGTATCGTCCTCGTAGTACCCCGGATCCAAGCATATGACAAAGCATTCCATTATAACACCTTCCCGAAAGGTGATGTCCACTTCCAGTGCGTAATCCCATATCGAAGACCGTAGAGGTCTCTTACAGGGGAGCTCGAATATTGTGGTGCAGTTATCCTTCTCACAACAGAGTGCAGTATCGTGGGCCGCGCCCCGTACCAGGCGGCATGGCTTGATCTTCGTAGTCTCGTTTTTGTCTTTATCCTTCTCCAAGTATCTCATCGTTTTAACGTAGGGCTGAAGTCTGAAGAGAGTGTTGCTTCTCGGTGGACTTCGGCACATGGTCTCGTCCATGCTGGTGACAATATTGAAATATTATAAGTACGCAATGTGTACAATTATTTTTTTTAACAAACAGCAAATCAACATAAAACAGTAATGTTATTTATAAACCAAAAAAAGGAACATCGTGATAAATTTAGAAACATACGTTGGTACAAAGGGCTAGATCTAAGTTGAAAATGTTCAAGACGCACACACTTACATTCTCCTGCTCTCTAAATCCAAGCTGAAGTTCATCGTTTCATTGGACCTGGAAGACTGGTGATGGAATTCCCATTGGTGAATAGCACAAGAGGCGGACAAACACAAGGCTAAGACCAGTGCAAACATACTCTTTGGGGATGTAAAAAAAAATTGATGTGTAGCGTTAAAGAAATAAAGTGTGAGAATCCCTTTATACGTTTAATATGTTTGTCGTGGTTTCGATGTTTACTATGGAATGTATGAGGAAAAAAAATTAAACATATAAAAATAGTAGAACATACACGCAACGCCCAAGCTTGCCACTTACCAAGACAAAAAGCACATTTCCTACTTATCAACTCTTCAACCAAGCTTCCTACTTTTCAACGCAACAACCAACGCCGCGATTGCACACACTTTGGTTTTTCAGTGTGTGCTCAGATGAATAATGTTGAATCCATTCTTAAAATAGCTTGTCACCAGGTATTCTATTTGATTAAATTCAAATAGAATACCTCAAACAGTGTTGCACAGCTTAATCCAGGATACAATTTTTTTTTTCTTTTTTAATTGTTGCTGTGTTTCTTTAAACTAACCTATCTGATGAAAGCAATTATGGCTTTAAATATACACACACAGCTTTTTTTCTTTTTGTTGTTGTAAAACAAACAGTACATGTACGCTTTAATTTTAGGACAAAATAATAATTTAATGACTGTATAAGTCTAGGACTTCAATACCACATCAGCGAAAGTTGCCATAACCTAATTTAAATTTTACAATACATATTTTCGGCATTTTGTCGTCTACACGAAACGATGCCGTAGCTCCTGTGTTTATTTGCACATTCTCGAGGGTTCTATGATCACGAAACTAACAATTAATTACTTTAAATAAAATAAAAGTGAGGGAAAAGGATGATCACAAGTACCTCTCAAAAACTAAGAACTGAAGAACATACAATTTAAATACTAACATAAAATAAACCATTTTGTTTTTTAAAAAACGTATTTTCCTTGATAAATATAAAAGATAGTAAAATAAAATAAAAATCTTGATTATTTTTTTTTAAAGCAACTTTTTTTCTGTTCTCTGCATTTGTTGAGAAAATAACATTTTTCTTTGTCACCATTGGTCAAATTAATTTAGCGAAGAAAAGACAACTAAAAAAGTATACATTTCAAAACTAATATTAAAACACTTTTACTTAATTTAAATTTATAATTACAACTTAGGAAAACCACCTGAGAAATGTTAACAGCAACACAGCAGTTTGATAATGAGCTCGCTGATACCATCATTACCATCATTGCCATCATTACCATTATACCATTATTACCATTATTCAGCGCTGGCATATTAAAAAGTATAGAAAATAATTGATAGCTAGGTCATAAATCAAATTGTGTGTGTTATCACTCAATACCTTCAGTGGCTTCCTTGGAGTAAGTATCCCTTGTGTTAGAGTAGGCTCCTTTCACTTCTCCGTGTCAATGCGGTATCCTGCTTCAGGCACACATTAACAGTCGAATATCCGCTTGTGGCGTCTTCGGTGTTATTTTTCTTTTTCATTTACCCTTACCCTTAACCACCCCACCCCCAAACCGTAGGATGAGAGTGTTTCTAGGAATATAATAGCTCTTTAAAAAAAACAAAAAAACAACAGACAAACATTTGCCCTTGTCGGTGAAGACCCCCCCCCCCCAACTCAAATCAAATTTACTTGTACTGTCGAAGTTGTATAAATGAAATGAGATAAGTTCTCCCCCAAACCGTAGGATAAGAGTGTTTCTAGTAATATAATAGCTCTTTAAAAAAAACAAAAAAACAACAGACAAACATTTGCCCTTGTCGGTGAAGACCCCCCCCCCAACTCAAATCAAATTTACTTGTACTGTCGAAGTTGTATAAATGAAATGAGATAAGTTCAATTTTCGTTGAAGTTATGAATTATGAGCAGGACTTTATTTGACCAAGCTTTACTTAAGTTCCACTCTGAGTCACGATAAAAATATTAAAGTTGCAGGGTTTGGGCAGGGGTGGTTGAGGTGGGTGGGGTGCTACTTGTTTGAATAAATGCGTTTATTATTGTCACTTATACATCTTCTTAACCAGGCAATAGAGGAGCTTGTCCCGCGAACATAGCTGAAGAAAAGTGGGGGGTAAGATAGCTGTAGAAGAGTTTGGGGGAAACATAACTGTATAACAATGGAGCAACCTCACCGCAGAAATGTGGGGGCAGCAAAGCTGTAGGGAAGTGAGTTGAAATAGCTGGTAGAAAAGTGGGACAACATAGCCTAAGGAGTGTTGGTTGACAGAGAGTGATCTGTCCTGTAAGGATTTTGACTTGTCATTGCTGCACACCTAAAGTTGTTCTCCTGTACACGATGAGTCTTTTGTGTTGTTTTCCTGTACACGATGAGTCTTTTGTGTTGTTCTCCTGTACACGAAGAGTCTTTTGTGTTGTTTTCCTGTACACGAAGAGTCTTTTGTGTTGTTTTCCTTGACGACGCAGTGATGCTTGTGACGTGTTGGTGACATAGCTGTAAAAGAGTGGGGCCAATTAGCTGTAAAAGAGTGGGATTATGTAGTTGTAAGAGAGTAGGGTAAAATAACTTGTAGAAGAGTGGGGCAACATATATGGTAGAAAAGTGGGGCAACATAGTTTATAGAAGAATATTAGCATCAATTGTAATTGAAAATTTAAAAGTTCAAATTCTTTTTAATTTCTTAAATGCATTCTGGGCCTGGAAGCAGTAAGAAATTTTAGCAGCTCCGGTCTAGCTGCGGGCAAAAAGACCCTGCCCCAAAGCTCCGAGCTCTAGCTAGGGACTCCAGGTCTTAGCCCAACTACAAGCCCCATGGATGAAATTTTCATCGTTCGTTACGGATAATGTATAGGTCTAGTAAAAACAAAAGAACTATGTTAAACAATGTTTGACTACAGGAATGACAACACAATAAATTGCATTTACATCATTGAGCTAAGAGTTATCTTTTCCAATTTTTGAAGGTTAAATTCTACACCAATTATAAAGTGCCTTGTTTTTGCTAGAAGACGCTGAGAGGTTTTATTGTTGATGTTGGCTTGAAATTATTAACATTTATTTCATTCTGCTTGTTTACCTCCAGCATTTTGTGCCCACACCAAAGAAGAGAATCATTGTCACTTACATCGTTATAAAAAGACTAATTTCCATTTAAATGTTAGCTTTTTTTTATATATTTTGTTTTTAGTGAAAATTTTGATTGCCTGAAACACTGATAATTTTCTTTGAAAAAATTATGCTCTACTGAACACTATTCATACATAAATTTGAATACAACAAATGTACATGAATATAAAATATACGCATCCAATTATTCATTTACTTATATTTATTAATTGTACAGCTTATAAAAAATATATAGTATGTATATTAAAAATAATAGCCTTCAAAGGTCAATGAAGTACCTGGTAATTAACATATGTAGTTAGTTACCCTTTAATAATCCAAAAGTATTATCTTAAAAAAAGAAATAAATAAACAGTGGCAAACAACTGATAACAGTTATTTATTTAATTGAAAAAAAAATGTATCTGATATTCATGTTACATCTTGTGATTTTAAGAGGATTGGGGGGAAAATATGTTATTATAATTATCAGTTCTTCAACCATTCATTCAACAATGTAACGTTTAAAAAAAGTAATAAAAATGACGACATAAAAATTGATCAGGGTGCAGGTCTGGATGCAAGTTGTTCCCAAAAGAAAGATTGTTTTCAAACACATTAGAGACTTAGATGTACAAATTAATCTCTTTTGGTAATTCTCTACAAACCAATTAGAAATTAATGGGTTTTTTTTCTATTCAAATCTGCTTAAGGAAAATTGATCACATTCAAAATTTTCCAACATGTTCCTTAAAATGTGTATCATCAGCTAGAAATCAAAATCATATGAGGTGGGGGGTAGGGGGTGGGGGACGGGGAACAGGGACTAAATCAACAAAAATGTTATATCTTGTTGGCCACAGTTTGTTTGGGCTAGCCCAATATTTACACATACAAAAAATACAAAGTAAAAAATTTGTAACTAGAAACAATTGCAGATTTAATAGTGAGATTTTAAATAACAAGTCGAAATAATGTTCACAAATGAAGGGCTCAAGGGAAAAACCAGTGATGTGAGGTTTTGAGAGTTTTGTGAAAATTGAATTTAAAGTTTGAAAATTCCTCATAACAGTATGAAAATATCAAGATGTCTAAGTATTTATTTATTGAGTACGCTGCTTTTTCAGTTGGACCTCTGTATCATATTATTCTATTAAATGGAATGTAACCACAAGGGAGATAACATAGACATTATGAAAAACTGACATCACTGGGTTTTTCCCTTGAACCCTTCAAATGAATACTCAAAAATAAACAAAGTAAACTTTATATTCATTTTGTGATGATTTTGAAATATTGATGTTGAATTTTTGAAATTGTTTAATGTATACAGTGCAGCCCAAAAAATGTGGTTACATCGTTTTATTGTCAGAAGCACAAACGAAGGGCCAATTACAAAAAATCAAAAAATTGTTTGGAGGCAGGGAGAGTTGACAGCTGTCAATGACGAAAGATTATATTAATTCAATTATATAACCTTTGTTATGAGATGTCCTCACTTTTTCTGGGCCACCCAGTAAAATTGGCATGTCCAAGTGAAATAAAGTATTGCAAATGTATTGTCAAATAATGGATGTGCCAAGATATGTAAAGACATGAATTTATTTATCAAAACACATCTTGACTTAAATGTCCACCCTAAAGTTGTACACAAATAAGGCCCATAATGCAATTTTTACATAAAGGTGAACACTTATATCTTGCAAACTTCTTTTTATTACCAAAAAAAAAATATATCAACTTTAAATTACAGACATAAATTCTAGTTGTTTCTTTCTTTAAGGATGATTTTTTAAAATAATTTTGTATCATTGATATCAAACTTGTATTTACAGATAATAAATAATAGTCCTTGAATTTTATTTTATGCTGCTTAATTATTAAATTTTTTGTTTACATTAAAATATTCTTTGTCTTGTCATTGGCTTGGCTTTCCTAAATAATATAAAAATTATATTACACATTAATACACAAACTTGACAATTATTATTAACCAATCTCTTGCTTGTAAGGATGTATGAAACTGTTGTCATTGAAGTGTCTGGCAATTCTCTTGTGGTAAATTATAACACCAAGCATCAAAAACAAACCAATGGCCAAAACAATGGCGATAGCGAATCCAATTCCGACCATCGTTATTCCATTCCCGCCGCTGTAACTATCATCTTCAAAAAACCCGATATCAGCACACATCACCGAGCAGTCCACAACGACCCCTTGGTCAATGAGGACGTCCAGCTCCAGGGTGCTCTCCCATCTTGAAACACCGAGGAGTGATTTACAAGGGAGGCTGATGTTAGACTGGCAGACGGATTGCCAGCAGACGCCGCACTTTGACTGGTGGCTCGTGTAGTTACAGGGTTGTGGTGACTTGAGGAAGTCTTCCTGTTTGTCCTTCTCAACGATGCGCATTTCTTTCTTGAGTGGCATCAGCCTGAACCGAACCTGTGTTGTTGTTGACCGACACATGGATTCATCCAGGCTATAGAAAATAATAGGACAAATTTTATATACATTTTAACAGTTCAATAATGCATTGACAATTAATTTTTTTTTTTTTTGGAAATTATTTTAATAATTTTAATATTCGAAAACAAAATATTTTGCTGAAGGATTTTTAAAAAGAAATCTTTGAAAAGGAATACAACAAATTTTTCAACTCTTCATTACACTATCAACAATATGCAAACATTTCTTTAAAAAAATATTCTTAAATTTATTTATTAAAAAATTATTATCAAAACTAAATGCCTTCGTCATTTCAGAAATGCATTTAAATTGTTTTTATATTTGTAAGTAATAAGATAATATTTAAAAATATTGTTGTAGTTTAATTGAAATGAGCAAACAGTTACATTAAGTTCTTTATAAAGATTATTCACACATTTAATGTCGCTAGGCCACATACTTGAAATTATTGACTTGTGAACTTAGCCCCTTTTCTGTGGGGTAAATCCGTGACTTTAAGCCAGGTATGGCTAAAAGTGTCAGTTGTTGCCAAATGTCATAATAGAGGACCCTAATAGAGGACCCTAATAGAGGACCCTAATAGAGGACCCTAATACAGGACCCTAATTATTCGAGTGACTTTCATGTGTGAGCCTAACGTGAATGAACATTTCTAAAAATATTTTTCCCACTGATCATGTGAGGACACATTGAATTCATAAATGATTATTGATATTTAAAACCTTATAATGAATTTTATTAAAATTGTTCAGATACATCCAAAGTCTTTACAACCTTTAAAATATGATCAAATCCTTATCATTCCACGTTAATAAGACATATATATATATATATATATATATATATATAATATATATATATATATATATATATAACACATAGTGTAAGAGAAAAATGTAAAGAAAGATACAAAGCTGGAAGTTATGGTAGACTTTAACAGCAATTCATCCCCCCTGTTCTCTCCCCCACCCCCCAAGCCTCTGGTACTGTCAACTGATAATGATCTGATCATAATGTATTTGCTTTAGTTCAAGGTTTAATCAGATTGACTCAAGGGAGAGCAGACTCTGTTATTCTTTTAGTTATTATGTTATTTCTTTTCATTGTTGTTTCCTTTAATTTATCCAGAATGGAAATTGACCTACATTCTGATTCCCTCCATGTCAGGACTGAATGACATCACCTCATCCTTGGGCTCTGCGTCTCTCAAGTTGACATTGTGGAACTCCCATCTGCTCAGTCCTGCCACCACATCAAGGGAAACAAGCCACAGCAGCAGCATATCCGGTTATAAACGTCAGTGAGGTGCCCTGGTTTGAGAATAAATCCTCTAATGTTTAGGAACACCCTGTGTCTGTATCTGAAAACTGAAGTTATAAATGTGTGTAAGGCTTTGTTGATGTGGATGATTATTGAGGGTTTCCACTACAGATGAAGAAAACACCTAAATACACATGCATTTTCTTTTTCTTCAAATATATTTACAAGCCATAAATTTCTTTCTCTTCTTTTACATGTATTCAATATAAATACGTTTCCGTCATTCACTCCCAAAGGTAGAGAAAAAATAACTATTTTGGAATCTTAATGAAAGGTTGCTGGTTGACAACACGAAACGCTTGAAGTGAAAGAGTAGTTTAAAGAGAACAACTTAGTCTTATGTTCAAGCAAAAAGAAAATGGATTCTTTCAATTAACTATGCCTGATCACAACACATTTTAAGGAATTTGGATTTAACACACACAAAAGCTGATCGATGACAATAGCTGTTGAACCAGTCTGGCAAGTCAGGGGACACTCGAAATGGTATTAGATAATAAAGGGTGGACTAGAAAAGGTTTTCTATAATAGATGTTCTCTATCGGTTTTTATGGATCTGAACCACGCTGATCTAGCCACTGTGGTCTAATAATTTGTTATTGTTCATGTATGAAATAGTTTCTTCTTATTGTTGGTTTTAAAGCAGTGTCATCCCCCCCCCCACCTTTTTGTGTGTGCATCTAGTACAATGTGTACGTTCACACACTTTTCTAGCTAAAATACCCTGCTACACATTTCCAAGTCTGAAATTCTCCTTTATGCTTTGGGGATGATTAAATCATAATAGCAATGTAACATGTCGGCTGTATTGGTGAACCAAATCAAGTAAATGATGTTTGATATCAAACACTTACCTTCACTTTATAACTCTCATCAAAACAACTCAAGGGTAGTGTTATCTGTCAAACTATTGTGCTATACCACATTTCCTTGTCTCTGTAACTCACACACACACACACGCGTGAACAAAGAGACCGTAAAACCATCAGCCTACGATACGAGCGAACCGTGAGCGGAATGTGTCACCCACAGACCAGAGCGCTCACCGCGAATTGTCCCAGTATTGATCTGAGCTAAAAATAGAACAGCCCTGTAAACATCAGCGGTCGTTACGGAACACGGATATTATTGATTTTTTTTTTTTAATACAGAGTGCTGGCAATCTGGTTGTTGCTCTGTCCTGGGGTGTTGGCTGTCCTGGCTGTCCTGGGGTGCTGGCTGTCCTGGCTGTCCTGGGGTGCTGGCTGTCCTTAAGACTACCTTTCAAAAAGACGGACAGAATTCAACTACATTGATAGGAGAAAATGATGTGAAAAAGAGAAAAAAAATACCTCAAAATACAACCAAAGAAAGTAAAGATTGTAATTACACATATTGTAATTTTAAAAAATGTATTAATTCAGATTTCACAGGTTGAAATCGTAATAGTATGTATGACTAACGATTATTATTGTGAGTAGTGGGTAAACTTTGTGACCTGAATGGCCTGTGTTGTTGTTAAGTGGTGTGACTGGACGTGGTGAGTTTTTTTTTTGTTGTTTTTTTATTCATGAATGTTTTAAACTTAAATGCGTTGAAAAGTGGAATGAGTGATCATGGATGTGGAAGTATAAAATGAGTGTATAATGTAGAATAAAGGTCAGTTGTTACACCAAACACAGAAGAGTGGGCGTCATTCAATTCTATTAAGGGAATAAAGGACCTTATAGTAACAAGGTAAATCTAGATGTTACGTCAGTCCAACTACACATTGTCAAACAACAATGAATTGCACTTTAAGAAAAAAAACGAGTCATAGAACAATATTCCAAAAAATTCTTTCTAGTTTTAAAATGCATTTTCAAAACAGAAAAACATACAAAAAAAACTGAATATCATCTCGTGTATTAACTCGATCTCTATCAAAGTAAAATAATATGCAGCTAAAAATAGAGCATGTACTTTAAACTGTAGCACAAGGAAAATTTACCACCCCGAGAAGATAAAAGCAAACATATTTTGTCTTTAATAGTTTAATTGAATCAGCCCACACGTGAGTGTAGAAGTAGTAACTTAAATCAAGGGAGGTAACTTTAAAAAAAAGAATGTATTCCTAGTGTTTCGATTAGCCCCCTCCAACATTAAAACGTAATTAAAACTAAATCTGTGATTTATATGACACGGCATTGATTAAAATATGTGTAAATATATCATGAATATCCCGCAAATATTGTGATATTAATGACTTTTTTGTGGTGCCAGTTTTCATTAATTTTGTTATACAAATGTATATTTTTATTGAGTCATAAAGTGCAGTCCTGACAAAAATATAACTCTCAACTGCAATTATTTGTTGGTGTTAACTTTAAACCGGAAGCAACAAACCACTGCGACATTAGCCGACACTTAATTGTTTCTCTTTTTTTTTCTTATTTTAAAAAATATAATAAAGGTAAATAAGTGACGAATGATGAACAGAAATCTTTTTTTGAGTTGTAGATCAGGTAGAAGTAAAAGATTGGGATTTTATTTGTTTGTTAGTTACAACGCCCATGAGGTTCAAAAGAAAGGTTTATCACCCACCCCCCTGAACCCACCCTCCCCCCCCCCCCCAAAAAAAAAAACAAACAAAAAAAGAACATTTGGTTGGCTCCTGTTAGTGTCGTGTGTCAATCTCTCACAGTTACCGTGTGGGGCTACAAAAGGTCGAGGGTTTGAAATTATCATTATGTCACTGGTCTGATTTGGGCCGTTGTAACTCTATGCTTGATTTGTAGTCGATTCTTTGGTGCTTTTGTGTGTAAGGGATCTTTGAAGAAGGCAGTGATCACGCCCAGGCAGAGGTGTAGTTAGGTATGGGGGCATCACACCTAGGCAGATCTGTAATGAAGGATTGGGATATCACCCCAAGGCAGAGGTGTCATCAGCGATGGGGATAAGACACCTAGTCAGAGGTATCAATACGGATGGGGGACATCAGTCACGTCACATTAAGAATGAAGGCCAAAGTTTATGATAGGGCTACTACTAAGTTCAATGCCACATTTGGCAATCAAAACATGTCATCGGTATAGTGTTTTTATCAAACTTGAGTAGACAGCCGAGCTACAAATTTTTTTAAAAAATTTATATTTAGACATTCAATCTAGATACGCTATCTTGAGATACAGACAATCGCGTAACTTTCCGCAACATTTCTACTTCCTGGGTCGCACTGTCTCCTTTATGTCTCTTATCTAAATTTGTATTCAATTTCTGTCTACAAGTAACCTTTACCCGTAGCTCCGGAATTATTTTTTTTTTGGGATGTTAACTAAACTTTAAAAATATATGTAATATTTAGGAAAACTCTAACCCTTGTTTAGTTCAAAACAAAACATCTTATGTATCGTTGAACTAGGAGTATTTTACTCTATTCTAAATTCTAAAACAAAAAGATAATTTATGTTTATTTAGGACACATTTTGAAATGTATATATATATATATATATATATATATATATATATATATATATTTTTTTTTATTTATATATTACACTTTAACTATTTTGTATTGTTAATATATGAGTATTTTACTCTATTCTAAATTCTAAAACAAAAAGATAATTTATTTTTATTTAGTACACATTTTGAAATGTATATATATATATATATATATATATATATATATATATATATATTTTTTTTTATTTATATATTACACTGTAACTATTTCCGAAAATGGGCAAACTGTTAGTACTACTGCTGCAATAAGATTAGAGGTAAAATTACATTGCAAGTCTTCTATTCAGAACAAGAAATGTCACCTTCAGTATCTATAGATAATCTATATGTGATTTAAATATTTATAAAAGACATTGATTTTCTCCCATTTTCTTGTCTTTCCCCCCCCCCTTTGTATATGATAAGATATGATATGATTCTTCATTAATCCAAACCAATGGAAATGTTTTTTTGATAAATATTTAATCTAAACAAAATTTCTAAACCCATTAATCATGAATGTGATTCCATCGCAGGGTTAAACAGCATCGTCGAAAAATGGCAAATTTATGTATTAGCATGATGGCATTTCTGAGTAAAATAGAAAGTTTAATTAAACTAGTTATATTGAAACATGTATGGTTTGCTTGGTTAAGTTAGAAGTATGTTTTCCGAGCCTTCACATTTCGACACACGTAATCTATAATTTCTCATTAAAGCAAACTTGGTCAAGTGTTTTAATTAGCTGTTAGAATATTATTTGTCTCATTCAAAGCCCAATTCTTACTCCTTGTAATATTTTTTGTCAAAACATAGTGGCTTTGCAAAGCTACAGGAACATAACCCGAAGCTAAATCAACACATACATTTTAACAACAATTTAAATCAATATTTTTAGGAGTTTTTTCGAGTCAAATCCTTGAGTTTTGCTCTTGTAAACCCTCATCAAACTATTTCAGATTTTAGTTTTGAAATATTAGCGTCCACTATAGCTGTTAAATTTTACTGTATAGATTTTAACATGTAAAAACCCAACAACAACATCAAACAACTTACACCCAACAACTTATATATGCGTAAAATTAAGATAGCGTATCATCGTAGTCGTCAACTGAGTTCTTGAAATCACGGACTTTCTCAGACTCCCCCAGATAGTTCTCTGGGCGGACTATTTCACGTGCAACACTTTTGTTTGATGTCGTATCACCACCTACTGAAATGTTGGACTTCTTCTGCACACTGGCGTAATCATAGGATAACTTGTCCTGACTTGCTTCCGTAACGTCGAAACCGTTCGCTACGTTTATGTTGGCTTTGATGATGCCAGTAGACACTCTGCTGAGATCTATGGGATCGCCCAAACCCCCAACATTCATCTCATGCGCTATAAGGTCGTAATCGGAATAAGGTTTTGCAGAAATATTTGAAGTTCTCTGATCACCAGAGCCGATGTATTCAGCTGAGGTGTTTTGTACTTCTGTATGAAACTCTCCACTGAGAACTGCATAATCGTTAGCAAAAAAGCCGGGATCTTCATGTAAGTTTAGTTCAATTATTTGAACGTCGTTTGCCTTGTCGGCTTCATTTGATATGTGTTTGAAATTATGCGTTAACTGAACGGCTTCAGCTTGACTTTGATCTTGATCGGCGACTCTGTCCTTTAGACTATTGTAAGGGTTCAAGGACTTTATTCGGTCTTGGCCAAACTTATGATAAATGGGATTTGTTCCAGCTCTGGCCTCCTCCGAGCGTATGGGTTCTTTGTTTATCACTTGACCTGCAGAGGCGTCGTTGCTTGGGGGTTCAACCGCGGGGTGTGCTAAATTGATATTGGCGTAATCATGCGTCTGATTACCTTGCATAACGTTAGGTGAGAGAAGTTTGGCGACATGGGGATGGCATTCTTTGGGAGAATCGTGCCTACTTTTTTTCTTTTCTGCTTTGACCATGTCTGTAATGTCTGCATGCTTTTGTAACATGTCTTGATAATGTCTTCCACGTGTATCTCCTTTAAGAGCTGGGGATTTGACGGGATCGTAAACTACATAGCCATAATTGACGTTAACATTTTCCTTTTCTTGTGTCTTGTCTGTGTCGTTGTGGGTTGAACTAAACGTTAACTTATTATTAGGAGTTGATGCTGTCACTTTATCTGAAGTGTCAGCCATTAAACTGCCAGAACATTCGATTCCCTTTCCGATATCAATAGCATCAGGGTTTTCAAACATGTTGTCATTGTTATAAGTACGGGGTTCAATGACTGGAGGAGTTTCTGTATTATCGCTATCGCAGTTCAGCGAGTTCATTTCTCTATCGTCCAAATTAGTCTCCGTTCTGACACCTGAATGTGCACTGTTACCTTTGAGACGTTTACGTCTCCAAATGAATAGAACAAGGGCAACAACTGTGATGACTAAGACAGCACCCGTAACTCCTAATATAATCGGGAGAGGATCGTTGTCCCCTCCAATGCTTGGCTGCCGAGTGATATTTAATGTGGTTGTTGTGGACTGAACACCTATGTTGGGTTGCTGGGCTAGAGTTGATGAGGGTGTTGTTGGTTGGGCACATGGCTCCTCGGACCGGTTTTTACTACACATTTGAAAGTCAGACATGTTTGACAAAGATAAACTTTCATACAAGTATTCAAATAATAAACCGATGCAAATGTCGTTGTCATTAGAGCCATGAGAAAAGTACGTGCTTGTGTTGAAACGCTTGAAGCTGCAGCTGTCATCAGAAATTCTTTCACAAGTAAATGTGTTTACAGATGTATTAATAGCGCATCCATAAACATGTTTTGCTGCCTGGTTTACTTTCTGGGCGTTGGGTTTTGGTTCAATAGCAATGACTTTGTGCAGAAATGTATCGTTACTATACGACACGATGCATGATATTGTTTGGTCGGAGCTCAGACATTCGTAAAATCTGGAAGTAAAACAATTTAAAAAATTGTTATCACTGCCCGTTTATTAAAATATGAAAACCTTATTCAGTTTGGGCGTTGGCATGTAAGTTTGGTTAAAAATAATTGTTAAATGTATAAAAATTCCCCTCGTTAAAGATAAAACTATTTCCTATACTACTGAAATTCAATGGGGGCACATATTTTTTTTTTAAAGAAGATGATCACATGCACACATTTATTTTGAAATTAAACATAGGCTATAACACATTCTTAAAACTTACTTATTTAACATTGTATAATTCATTGCGTATATATATAGGTCGTCAATATGTTTGAAAAATATTGTTGCCGAACCGTTCATTGATGGAATGTTCTGTTCACATCCTCCCAGCACAATCCAGGCGAGAACGTAACTGCAGACATGATGAACGATGAGCGAGCGCGCCATGTCACTTAAATGACGAATGTATTGTTTGTTTTTTCTTAGAGCTAAACAGCACAACGTAGATGTATCCTAGAACGATATTCAAATAGAGATGAAATGTCAATTCTGATATTTAATATATTTATGCTATTTACACCTAACATTGTAGTATCGGCAAGTTAATCTGTACACGATAATGTCACTATTCTCACATTTCCATATAAACAATTGTATGTCAATGTAAACAACGTATCTATTTGTATATTCCAAGCAAGTAAAGTGACCGTCTGAATGCACATAACAGCAGTGATCAAGTTAAGCCAGCTGTCAAACAGCGACGCAAAGAAGGAAGCATACCAACAACCGGTCGACAACAAGGAAGTAAAAGACAATGGTGATAACGAGCAATCTCAGATAAGACCAATTGGTGGTTATTTTAATAGGTAGCCGTGACACATTTTTTAAATACACGGAAACCCGATTGCCTTTTCAGGTTTACGCATATCGTCTAAAATATATTAAGTTTACAGGTTGCACCCATTACATCAGAGCTCCTTAAAGTCAACAAAAATCACGATGAATAACTTACCGAAAAATATAGAAATTCAAATGTTTACTGATATGTCAGGCTTGATCAGCGTGCTCCCCTGGTTGTTTGCTAGACTTTATTGACATTTTAGATACAGGTTTGATGAAATACGAGGACTACGTTGATTAATTTTGAGAAAATGAGTTTGAAGTTTTAGAATGCTTACTTAAACACATAAAGAGCTGCTCGAAGAAACTCTCAATCAAACACATAAGTACATTTCTCATGAACGCTATTCAAAGGAATGATTCAAGGGAAGGAATCAAATATAATGCCGGACTCATTTTTGGAACACTTGTAACTAATTGTACTCTTTGTAACCATTGTACTCTTTGTACTCATTGTACTCTTTGTACTCATTGTACTCTTTGTACTCATTGTACTCATTGTACTCTGTGTACTCATTGTACTCTTTGTACTCATTGTACTCTTTGTACTCATTGTACTCTTTGTACTCATTGTACTCTTTGTACTCATTGTACTCTTTGTACTCATTGTACTCTTTGTACTCGGGCCTTCGTTTTGGGTTTAAAAAAAAAAGTAAATTAAAAGTGTGTTATTTTATTGTGATTCAAGAATATTTCATATAAGTATGACTAAAATAGTGTTTGGCTCATTATTTTAGCGTACATTTTCTTTAATACGATATGAATATGTACTCAGCTGAAATTTGATACTTTGGTCATCTAGATAAATATGGGATCTAATAAAAAATATGTCATGCATATACATTATAATACCCATCAACAAACAACATATAAATAGAAATTATTTTAAATTTGTTATGGTATTTTATATTAATTATTGATTTCTCATATTTTACGTCGTTCAAACTAGTTAACCATTCGATCGATATATTTTTTCAATTAAAATTAAATGCATTCATAGCACATAACAGGCGGCACACTGTGTTAATTGTTTGAATCACAACACTCAGAGATATGTCAGGGCATGCTTCTGTCATCTGCGCGCCCTGGGTCAGCTGCGTAATCAACTCAATAAGAGAACAGCCGATGCTGTAGCGGCAACTCTAATCCAGTCAAGATAAGATTACTGTACCATTTTTACCTCAGAACCAATTCAGAGACTCCAGAAGGTACAAAATATTGCAACGTGCATTGCATCGCGGATAAAGAAATCTGATCTCCCCAGTTCTACGAGATTTCCATTGGGTTCCTGTGAGTAAGCCCATTAACTACAAAATTATGTCCCTGGCGTACTGGTGCATAGAAGGCTATGCACCGGAATATATTAAAGAACTGATTTATAAACACTTATCCTACAAGAACATTCGGTCTTCAACACGGTCCTAACTGAAAATTCCCAGTGTGGATGAATACAGAAAAAAGTCTTACGGAGTGCACTCTTTTGAAGCGATAGCGACAAAATAATGGAACAGTTTGCCTCAATCTTTTAGGGGAATTGAAAATGATAAGAAATGTTAAGAAACATTTTAAAACTTTTTGCTTAAAAATATTTAAGAAAATCAGAGCACAGTGAGGATGCTAAAGTAGCATAGATACCAGCGCTATATAAATATCTAATTAATCAATAGGTCGTAGTGGTGTTCACAATCCTTGTTTATTGACTAATGAAGAGATGAACTTGGAACCTCGTGTAACTGGTCACAGATGACATCATTTATTCATTATGAGTATGCAGAAATACTTGGTAAAAATCTGTTGAAAATATCTAAAATGTCTTCCATATGCGCGGTATATCACTCCTTCCTGGAGGAAAATGTACACGTACTCTGAAATTTAAAGAGAATTATGTACATTACATTAAAAAAAAACAACAACATAAAAATGAGTTTATTTTGTTACAAAGTCTATCGCTTCTTGTCGCACTTTAATTCTGTTGAGATCTTAAATATAATAATTTGAATTAATTAACGGTAATCCTTTATTTTAATCCCCGTTTTAAAACGTTAGAACACAATATAATTTAAGTAAATGTATGTTATGAATACAACAATAATTTTAACAAGGAATAATATTGTTAGTCATAAAATTTTGTTTCTTTAACAAAAAACTACACAAAAGTGCACATTTCTATGAGATCACAATAAAAAATAATTTTAACGAAATCTAGATCTTATCTTTGCTTAATGTTTAACACTGTAAAGCTAATTAACGTAATGTGAGACTTCGCGTCTGACTTTAATTGCTGCTTAGCGGCAACAACTAATGAGTTTTATATTATATTAACATTTCATCTGGCATGGAATTAAACTTAAATTTATATTTCCAGAAAACTGTATTAAAAAATTCGGTCTCAAATTATTTGTTCTATAAAAGAAACGTTAATTAATGAAATGATATGCTCACCACTCATCGCTCTTTGATCTTAAATTGAGTGACGACGAATTTCTTTAATCAGGCATCAATATAAAAAACTAAGCACACACTTACAATGAAGTAAAAAATGTCTGAATGAGTCACATCTCTGTTTGAAATGAAAAGTGATGAATAAGTGCCCCGAATAGCCGAGCATTTTATAAGGCGAAGATGTTAAGTTGGAATGATGAGTCACGTGATTCTTAAAATATTCCTGAAACGTCCAGGACACCAGTGCGTTACTTTGTTTTTGTCACAATAAACTGTTAGCCAGACATATATTTCAAGTAAAAAGTTATGCATTTTTTGCAAGAGTTCGATGAATGCAAAGAGATAAAGATTTTCAAGTATTACTATAATACATGTCCTTATTAAATATGTAACTTAATCCAAGTGCCAGGAAGATAATTTACTTGGCATCATGTTTTTGATCCAAAAAGTGTTTGTAAAATTCCAAGTAGGAATGTTGCTCTATTGCAGAAGTTTGGCTTGCTCTAGTGCAGAAAGTTGGATTGGCAGAAGTTAAGCCAATATCTTTGCACAATTTCAAATACAGTATCTGGTGGCGTATTAAAAATCAATTTTATCACTCATCATTGGATGCATTTAAATTGCTTTTTAGTCATTGCCTACTCACTATATGATATAAATAACTTTCGTATTTCGTGTGAATGCCTGGTTTACAAATGTCTTGAAGAAGTTTTTGAAAATTCTTAATTTTTACCCGGAACTTGTTTAATAATATTGTACTTAATTATAGGCATTGAAATTGTTAAAATAATTATTATAAAATTCAAAACGAAACGCTCAAGGATTTTTTTTTTAATCATTTAAGCTTATTGAAATACATCAAAAAGATAGAGTTCACCATTATCTAGCGAAATTTTAATTTTTAAATATTAAATTAATCTCAATTACACCGTTCTCAAGTACCTTTGTCATCAAAAAGAGTTGACGGAATTTTGTTTGAATTATCCGTGTATTAAACTAAAACATCATAAACACTGATGTTAACAGCAGGAGCTCCACCCAAGTCTAGCATAGGCGTTGGAGGAAGCATATTCTTTGGATTCTTCCAAAAGCTTTCTACGATTAGAACTGGTAGCAGATATGTCAACTGCCATTGTAAAGTTGATTTGTACAGAGCCGTTGAGCAGTGCTGCAATGATCATTGGATCCTTATATGTGTAAGGGTTGTAACATCCATGTCAGCATTACTAGAAATCACGTTGGTGTTACAAAGTTTCCATTTCCATATCCACATTTTGTAAATAATTTGGATAAATCTTCCTTGGCAGTGATTTTAAACACTTAACAAAATTCATTCCATTTTGACACCTCTGATTTCGTTTTGTTACATAGGTGAGACGCACGATTGTTATCACGATGCATGTAATGGGCGCCAGAGTTAAAGCAAGGGGAGCAACTATCTCAATATTATCGGAAATGTTTTGAATGCTTTGAAATGTGGTGGTTGTGTGCAGTGATGAGGAAACTGTTCGGCTGATAGTACCATTATTCTGGGAAATTTTGTTGAATCGATTATATGTGAGTGTGTGGCCTGTGTCGAGTTTGCTAATGACCTATTCGCAGATGCAAGATACTTTGTGGTCAGACTTGCTGGCGTGGTTACAGAGCTTCCTTTTGAATTCTGTCTATTTTTTACTTGATTTTTTTGCGGTTTAACAGTCCTAGTCGTTTTTGTATGAAGTTTTGTGTGGCATTTACGATCTTCATTTCTACGATGACACATTTAATATCTTGAAGAAGTAGAAAGTGTCTGGAAATGTTGAAAATAAAATATTTAGATGACTTTGAAAGTCGATTTATGGATTTTTGAGTGAGATTTTACTTTTGAAATTCTTATTCCGCAATATCTTTTAGCAAATTATTTTTTAACTTGACTTATTCCTGGAATTAAAGAAGTCTTTCTGTTTTGTTTGTTTGTTTTTTTTTTTTTGTGAAACAAGCGAAGGCTATTTAATATTGTGCAACAATTTTTTTTCCTCATTCATGTGAGTAATCTGAAATATATAATATATATTTAACAATAAATTAAACTGGTTTTAATAATACACAATTAACACGCCTTTTATTCTTATTTTTATTTAAAATGTGGACCAATAAAACAATTTGCGGATAATTTAATTGTGTTCTACCAGATGTAGACATCTTTTCAATAGTATTATTTCTCATAATTTAATTGTGTTCTACCAGATGTAGACATCTTTTCAATAGTATTATTTCTCATAATTTAATTGTGTTCTACCAGATGTAGACATCTTTTCAATAGTATTATTTCTCATAATTTAATTGTGTTTTACCAGATGTAGACATCTTTTCAATTGTATTATTTCTCATAATTTAATTGTGTTCTACCAGATGTAGACATCTTTTCAATTGTATTATTTCTCATAATTTAATTGTGTTCTACCAGATGTAGACATCTTTTCAATTGTATTATTTCTCATAATTTAATTTGTAGAGAAGGACTTAAAGAGTCGCGAATCGAGACGAAAAACCATGGATCGATCTAAATGAAAGCATGTGGTGAAGTCGGCCAGGTGACTACGTGGGTGGTGTTTGCACTGGAGATGATGACTTCTCTAATGCTAAACTAGTTTAAAAAAACTAATTTGGTAATTTTTACTTCAATAATAGGTCGAAATAACGTTTCTCTCATGGAACTAAAATCGTTACTATTAGATTTTCTATATTTTTTTAGACATCAGGATGTTTTTTGTTTTGTTCTTTCTTTTTAAATATTAGAAGCATAATCAATGTATTGATCATATTTATGTATTCCTTGCGCGTGCATTAACGCAGTTATATATATCCATTAAACATTATTAATATTTTTAAAATTTGATAGCGAATAAGTTTTTAAATAGTTTAAGAATGTGTACTTACAATGAAAAACAATATTGTGCTAACCTTAAATATTTTTTTTAAATTTGAATTTGAATTATTGTTAATTTTTAAGAAGGTGTCAGGTGGTACGTAATAATCTTATTTTTTTTAATTAAATGAGGTGAATCACACACTTCAACAGAAGGTAACGGGAACGAAGCTCCGGTCACAAATATGTGTATGTATTTGATTGCATGCACTAAATTTACAAATGTAAAGGGCAATCATAGCATTTTTTTTAAAATTAGAGGGGAGTGGTCTTATTTACTTTCTATCAACATTGCTGCTTATTATATACATGGAAATAACAATTAAAATGATGCTAATATACATTCCGAGACTCTAAAGTAATTGCTATTTGCAAATGACTACTGCATCCTAAAGATAGCAAGGAACAGTTGCAGAGCTATGTTCAACTCATGAAAATTGCTTATCGTGAAAAGGCGGACACGACCATTAGTGGTCAGCTGTTCCGTCGAAGCCAGGGCTTTAATTTTATGTTTAGTATTTTTCACAAAGAACGGAAACATTGATACACAGATAGAGACGAGAGTGAAGTCGGCAAATATAGTCCAACCGAACAGCGTCTAAGACACCCAAGAATTGAGACGAGAGTTCAGCGATCAAACACCGTCAAAATGAACCGCTATTGATAAAAACCCCAGAATGAAGACGTAGACCAAGGCCAAGCGAATTATAACTGTCTTTATTCCAACCCTTGCTGATCAGTTTCAAACCTTGGATCCCAAGAAAAGCCTGGAGAGAAAAATATTGGCCTGGAAGACTTGGCCATGAGATGAACGGCTTGAAGAACAAGGTCGGACCGTGTTCAGATCCATTCCAGTAAGCCAATGCTTGGTCCAACAACAAATTAATTAGTTGGGTTACTTGGTCAGAATGACTGGCAAAAAAAAAAAAGCAACCTGCATTGAAAGCTTACAAGTTCAGGCACGCGTGTTTCAGGGCCACCCGAAGACCTCGCCAACCGGTGTATGGAATGAGTCAAAGAGATCCTATAAATCAACATCATGAACCTCCAGCATGCCTCATACCTTGCAGCAATTCTTCAACAATACCCCCACACGACGCCACCCGGGTAAAAGCGGAAAGTAGAAGACGAGGAAGAGAATACAAACGACTATTTCATGCGGTCCTCATAAGCCGATGTGCCTACTCTCAATTGTACGTGTACACATTTATTCTTAAACAAATACAAACAAATAAGCGTGTAACAGATATTCATTTTTTTTATTAAGATTCTTTGATAATAAAAAATAATGATTCAATTGTTTTATACAAATTCAACATGAAATTTCTACGTATACTATTTTTTTTTTTAGTAAATATAAATTATTAGTCATTTTAAAAAATGTATGAACAAAAACCTAGCCTCATGAATGTGATGTTCCAAATCATTCCAATCTGACTCGTAGGTTTACATAATCTCATATTTACTTTGAGTTCGACTAGGAAGCTAAAATATTTATTTTAAAAAAAACGATAACGTTTAAAGATAGCATTAGGGCCAGTGTGTAAAAGACGCGCGGGGCTTGCCTCCATTTGCTGCGAGGTATGAAATGAGACCTGGATCTACACTCCGATTGAGAGAAATAGAATTAATAGAAATACATTTAAATTAAAAAACGAATTTAACATCTAAAATGTTCCAAAAACATTGACCATGAGATGGCAATATGAACACAACACTGACCATGAGATGGCAGATTGAACATATATTGACCATGAGATGGCAGAATAAACACAACATTGACCATGAGATGGTAGATTGAACATATATTGACATAACATTTACCATGAGGTGGCAGAATGAACACAACATAACATTGATCATAAGATAGTAGCATAACACAACATTGATCATGAGATAGCAGAATGAACACAACATAATATTTATCATGAGCTGGAAGAATGAAAACAAAATTGACCAGGAAATGATAGAATGAACACAACATAACATTGATCATAAGATGGTAGCATAACAAAAAATTGACAACGAGATAGCAGAATGAACACAACATAACATTGACCATCAGATGGAAGATTGAAAACTAAATTGACCACGAGATGACAGAATGAACACAACAAAGCATGGACCATGAGATGGAATATTTACAAAAATCATGAAGCAAGGTGACTGACACAAAATTTCAACATTCAGTCTAGAACAACGGAAATGACATGCTTTCCCATTTGATTTGCGTGATTGTCATCACCAAATAATGCGTCCCAATACCCATATCCCGATTACTCTATGTACACAACTAGTGTGAATGTTTAAGTGTAAGGATACTCTTCCTTAAACATTTTTGCAACTTTCTTCTTTCATGTAATAACATATATATCTTCAGAGAGGTTTCCGGAATCTCTGGGGATATTTTCATCAGCCGCTGTAAATTTTGGTGGATCTATTGGATGAAACTGACCACCATCTCGTTTCTCGTTGTCATAATTATGTCGTGAGGCCATCGCACCGACATTTATGGATTCGTAGTAATCATCGTCGCCATCATCAGATGGTCGACCATTGACATCGTCAGATTTTTTCTCAACACCATTTATTTCATCGGGTTTGTTGGAATTATCCTTCACTGATCCTCTGTCATCCTCAATTGTTTTAATTATTGCCGAAGTTACATTGACAACGGGATAGTCGTAAACGTCCAGATCTTCTTCAACCTTTTTCGCTGGTCTAGTTCTTTTGACACAGGACAAAAGAGCATTTCCGGGGCAAACATTATTCATCTTGGCGATTATAATCGTTCGTTTCCAGATGATAAATCCCACAGCTATCACGACTAATACGGTGACAGGGAGGGTTATCTCTAGAGTTAGTCCAACTGAACTACTGCCATCGTTGTTACATGGTGTTGGTGTAGCGTTGCTAGCTGTGTTGTTACACATCTCGAAGTCAGAAATCGTAGAGAGATTCAAGCTAACATATTTTACTTGGAAGGATAAACCGACACACGTGTACGGTTGGTAACCGGCTGTCTTTTTACGAAAGTAAACGTTGCTCTGCGCAGACTCAGCGGAGCTTTTTTCCTTAGATATACGTTTAAATGTAATCTCATGCTTGCTTGGAATATTTGTGCATTTATTCGTCCTTGTTGTTGAGCTAGTATTTGCTGTATCGCTGCTACAGTTAAAACTTGATACATTAGTTATACCGCTCTCATTCACGTAAATCAAGTCACAAGATGTTGTAGTCTTATTTTGAATAAAATTGTAAAATCTGAAAAGGAAACATTATTTAAATGCTACAGTTTTTAATGCTTAAGGGTAATAATCTGTCATAATTTATTACATTTCAGATGTATTCCTTTTTTAAAAAGCATATAATTATAATACGATAAGTTTTAGCAAAAATAATGAAATAAGTTACGTTTTATTTATTTATTATTTTAGTTTGTTTTTTTAGACTTACGTAATATTTGTTCATGACTGACTTCTTTAAATGTTTTCGTTAATATTTAGAAGGAAAAAAAAAGGGGGGGGGGGGGGGTTGCCCAAATGGAGGATCTCCATGGTGGCACTTTTACATTTTGTTTATGTATGATTTGCATAGTATAAATTTGTATGTGTGTATTTGCATCCTGTCGATATTATACTATATATAAATATATATGGTTAACTTTATTAGTATTATTTTTTAAAATGTGCGAATTAAAAATTTATTAATATATCACAGAATTCTAAAAAAAAAAAAAATCTTCATTTTGATTATAAAAAACGTGTCAAAGAAACAAATTTAAATACTTTTAGAAATCGAGAAAACAAAAACGTGTAAGTTTTAACAGTGTAAGGACTGAATTGATGTAGTGACCAACCTGTCAAAAAGATCTGCATTCATCCTGTAAAGTGTCGAATGTGTCTTGTTTCCAGATTCAGTGCATACCGTAAATACTGCAAACGGACTCTGAGGAATTGATGGTTCTACACAACTCCACACAAGGAGCCACACAAAATGATATGAAAAATATTTCTTCTCAATGAGAGTCATAATGTTAAACATTAATTATCCTTTTATATTAAAGTAGAGCTAAAACAAGAAAGTATCTTTTATCAGGTCAATGTACGAATATATTTGATAATATGTTTTCTTTGAATAAGGTGAACCATTTGAGGGTAATATTTTCTTTTAAATGTATGATTATTTTTAACAGATTAAAAAAATGTGTTTTTTAACAACCAATAGTTGTATTGCAGTCAGGTTGTATCGCAGTCATGTTGTATTGCAGAGATTTTGTATCGCAGGCATGTTGTATCGCAGTAATATTGTATTGCAGTCATGTTGTATGGCAGTCAAGTTGTATTGCAGTCATGGTGTATTGTCCAAGGTTAACGTATTAAAAATATGTTAATGAATTTTTCACTTTGATGAAATAATAACACATTGATGTAAATATAACATACTATATTATTGCAGTACAATTTGTCCAAAAACAAAAATTCAGAAATAAACAAACACACCAGTTACAGAGATAATATTAAGACTAATAAACGTTCAGTCTTGTCCTACCAGTTTCTGTTCATTCACGATTTGAAAGGGGAAAAAAACCCAATCTATTTGCATATTGGAAAGGGAAGGGGAAATTAAATTCATTTCATTAAATAAGAAAAAATATCCAGATAACAAAATTCAATAGATGCATCAGGTAAAAATCGAAAGTTTGTAAGTTGACATCAAAAATACTTTCATAAACTAAAATAGCTATGTTGATTTGATAAGACACTCGTTATCTTTTTCTCTTTTTGGTTTAGTAGAAACACGCCTCGTCTGGAGGGTGAACATGAACTACTCAGTCAGGTAACGGCAAGGAATATCAGGTACATTTTTAGAGTATCACTTTGCTACATACTATACTTTTAGTAGAAACGGATGACGTGATTTGCAGGAAAGCATATTATAAGTAACGGGGATCGCGAGACGAAACGTGATCTTAACTGGTCACGATAAAAAGAGTTGGAGAAGTTAAGTCAGTAGGACTGGGTGAAAAACAAAAGATTAACTTTTTCCGTGTTAACTAATGTGTCAGGTATATGGGAGGTGACAGTTTTCTCAGTTATTTAAAACATATTAGGATAGAAAATGCAGGCTGAGACAAAGTCGGTCGGAGATGACAAGTTAGAGTCTGGTAGTAAGGCTTAAATGTTACGCTGATATAGATTGTTGAAAAAGGCAGATCAAGATTTTTTTTTGATTTAGTTACAATGCATATCCTCCAGTGAACTAGTTTAGGGGGCTTGAATGAGGTAGTGTATGTTGAGTTAGTATGTGCTGAGTTAGTGTGGGCTGAGTAAGTATGTGACGAGTTAGTGTATGCTATGTTATTGTATGCTGAGTTATGGTGTGCTGAGTTGGTGTGCTGAGTTAGTGTATGCTGAGTTAGTGTATGCTGAGTTAGCGTGTGCTGAGTTAGTTTATGTTGAGTTAGTGTGTGCTGAGTTAGTGTGTGCTGAGTTAGTGTGTGCTGAGTTAGTGTGTGCTGGGTTAGTGTGTGCTGAGTTAGTGTGTGCTGAGTTAGTGTATGCTGAGTTAATGTATGCTGAGTTAGTTTATGTTGATTTAGTGTATGCTGAGTTAGTTTGTGCTGAGTTAGTGTGTGCTGAGTTAGTGTGTGCTGAGTTAGTGTACGCTGAGTTAGTGTGTGCCGAGTTAGTGTATGCTGAGTTAGTGTGTGCTGAGTTAGTGTGTGCTGAATTAGTGTGTACTGAGATAGTGTATGCTGAGTTAATTTATGTTGAGTTAGTGTGTGCCGAGTTAGTGTGTTCTAAGTTCGTTTGTGCTATGCCAGTGTGTGCTGAGTTAGTGTATGCTGAGTTAGTTTATGTTGAGTTAGTGTGTGCTGAGTTAGTGTGGGCTGAGTTAGTGTGTGCTGAGTGATGGTGTGCTGAGTTAGTGTGTGCTGAGTTATTTTATGTTGAGTGAGTGTGTGCTCAGTTAGTGTATGCTGTGTAAGGGTGTGCTGAGTTAGCGTGTGCTGATTTAGTGTGTGCTCATTTAGTGTGTGCTCAGTTTGTGTATCCTGATTTAGTGTGCTGAGTTATGGTGTGCTGAGTTAGTGCGTGCTCAGTTAGTGTGTGCTCAGTTAGTGTATCCTGATTTAGTGTGCTGAGTTATGGTGTGCTGAGTTAGTGTGTGTTGAGTTAGTGTGTGCTGAATTAGTGTGTCCCGAGTTATGGTGTGTTGAGTTAGTATGTGCTGAGTTAGTGTGTGCTGAGTTGGTGTATGCTGAGTTAGTGTGTGCTGAGTTAGTGTGTCTTGAGTTGGTATGTGCTGAGTTGGTTTATGCTGAGTTAGTGTGTGCTGATTTAGTGTGTGCTGAGTTAATGTGTGTTGAGTGTTTGTTGTGTAGAGTTATAATTGGCGGTGTCCTAATTGATGTTTTAGAGAGAGTGAGAGAAGTGTTTGCGTGATAGGGCCAGTGTTAGTGTTATCTGAATAGAGAAAGATTTGTAAACAGACAGTTCTTGTGATGAAAGAGAATCGTTATAGCTTCTGTCATTGAACGTTGGATGTTGATCTTAACTTTGGACCAAGCATGATTGCGTGGCATGGAAGTGCGGACCTGGCATGGCTGTGTGGCAATGAAGCTAGACAACAGTGCAAATTAGGAGTTTAACAATCGGAAGATTCGACACACGGAGCAGCTGAAAGAAAATGTAACATTTCGAAGCACAAACGTTCATTTAATAGGAAAGGTTGCAAGAGCCTACATTGGTTTATATGCATTGTAGTATAATGCGTGCACTGATTTATAAGGATTGTAGTACCATTCACGCAATGATTCATATTGATTGTTATACAATGCATGCAATGATTTATTTTGATTGTTATACAATGCATGCAATGATTTATATTGATTGTTGTCAATAAAATAATTGATTCAAATTCGCCTTTGTCTCTGCCATTTTAAATTAATATCTTTTAAAAATAATTTTAGGGCTCAAACGAAATGTGGACATTTTTTAAAAGTATGCATTGTCATTGTTTTATATATAAATATATATAGTTATACATGTCTATTTCATGAAGTTCGGAGGTCACGGGTCTCTTTATTGACCACTGAAATGCCATTAATGTGTACTTATTAATGTCAATTAAAATATTCAAACAGAAATGTGAATCGGGATGAAAAGATAAAGTGATCGTGTGAAGAAAGCAAGATAACAACAACAAAAAATTATAAATATAATAATAACATGTGGAGTTGTGGTTCTTAGTTGAGCAACGAAGCACTTACGATTGACCGGAATAATATTATTGAAACCGGATGATGTCTGTTACGTACTGGCTTCCCTTGTGAGAAATTAATCTCTTGTTTTGAGTTATGGCTCGTTCAAACAGTGCACAACAAAGGACGATACCATAGAGATATACCATAACAAAATTACAACACCCAAAACAGTTGCCAATTACAATTAATAAGATTTAATTTAGTAAAAATAACTATCAACTTACAGAGTATCGGAAAATCTTGTACCGGTACACAATTAGTACAATTTGCCAATTAATAATGATGAATGCGAAATAAAAACATATGAGCACACAAAGAATAATACAATTGTCTCGTAAAGTTAATAATATCTATCTCCGTCTACCTCAATCTCCGTCTGAATCTCTCTCTCAATCTCCGAAATCCTTTATATTGTGGGTCTACCAACGCGACCAGAAACGCCTTTACCTTTCTAATACCATCGGGAACATTCGACAAAACACCACTGAGAACAAATTATTTATTTTTTTAGTTGCTGTCGGCAATAAACACGACAGATCAAAAGACTAAGCCACGCCCATCTATGCACGTAGTGTCTCATGTGGGGTCAACCAGAGTGCACGCACGGGGAAAGTGTTGTAAACAAGCTCTACATAACAACGTCATTCCTTTTCCCTTTATTATTATTATCATTATATCTTTTTTTTAAATCCCGTGAATTTTCATCGTATCCTTGTGAAAGAACAAAACAGTTCTCTAACCATCATTATCTAGAAATTAAATGTTCAGATCTGAGAAGTGAATTTGACATATTTAAAAATTAGAACCCAACAAACATAACACACAGAAAAAAAATTAAACAAATTTAACTCTTGCATTGTGATAAAAATTAATGAAATTGTTTCTTTTATAAGTTCATTGTTGAATATGTGCGGTTATTAATGAAAGTGGACAATTTAAAAGGACCAAATTTGCATTATTTGCAAAACGTTTTAATTTTTTTTTTCAGGTTCATAAAAGGTGAAAGGTCAATGAATAAAGCTTTATCAAAAGAACTACTTATTTTAGTGTAAATTTTAGTATCAATTAATCTTTAATACACATTTTCCCCACAAACTGTAAACATCCTTTCATGAGAGCTGAATTATACAATCAGTTGTATCCATTTTTTTTTCAATAATTTACTGTCACATCTCGTTTCAATTTACTATAAATCCTGAACTTACCACAAATCCCCAACAGTGCTCTAAACCAAAAATGAGGAACACATTTATTTTTTTTTAAAGAGCAGCAGAAGCAAAACTTTTTAATACGTTTTGAAAGTATTTAGAAAAAACATACCAATATGAACACTTCGTATCTGTTTACATATTATAATAACATATTTTACCGGAAATTTGATCGGAAGAAGTTTCATTGACGGTAAATTGATCGACGGAAATTTGATCGAACAGAAATTTGGTCGAATTTTTTTTTAAATTTACACGTTAAAATTTTCGTCAAATTTCTTTTTGAAAGCGCTATACTATATACTAAAACAAAATAATTTGATGCAATTTCCGGATACGAAAAACATAAGGATTATTTTTAGAGAATACAAAATAAAAAAAAAAATACGTGTTTAAATGTAAAAATTCTAAGCATTGTAGCAGTGGTTTTCAAAATTTTAATATGGGGGGGGACCAATGGACAAGTCTTCCATTAGCACAACTGACCAGTGCCAGTTGTAGTAATTATTTTTTTTTATTTGACCTCAATCAATTCTTAACATGTTTTACTTTTCTTTTATAAGCCAAAAAGGGAGGACTCAATTTAATATTACCATTTAGGCCACATGCTTACAAATATACGTTTCTTTGGTTGTTGTTCTTGTTGTAATTTTTATACTTTATTTAACTTGAATTCACTTCCCTTTCCCATAAGGAGTGGGCCAGCAACATAAGTTTCGCGGACAGGTGAACACCACTTTGGTTGTCAACACAGGTTTGCAGCTCGGATGACTTTTTCGTAAAAAACTTTGGATAACGATCGGCAACCCGAGAGCGAGGCGTAATCTAGATGCGCCATTTCTAATATGCTTCCTGTTTGTAACACAAAGAGTGCGTTTTATTTATTTATTTTTTTAATTACACGCTCTAGATTCGCAATGCAAGGGGTACACTTTGAAATCTTTTGTAATTTTTAAAAGTGTAAAGCCAATGATAAACCAGAAACAAGAAGACAAAAAATTATGAGATATAGAATTTCCCCTACACTTTCATGCAAGGATGACTTTGGTTTAATTAGAACTAAAAAAAATATATATATATTATATATTACCAA